CGCACGGATCGCGTTTGTACTTGATCGCAGTCATCTGCTGTTTAATTGACAAGTTCTAAAGCTGCCTCTACATAATTCGCAAATCGCAAAACGTAGTTCGTAAATGCAAATATATCGCGACGTGTACGTGTATACAAATTGGACTAGACGCGTTAATTTCTGCGCTGCAATAAATTAACTAATAACAGAACAGCAAAGAGAGTAACGGAAGTGAATTTTATATCATTCGCTCGCTTATCAGCAGAGTCATATTTTTTATGAATTTCCGTGATACGGAAAATATCAGACACAAATTAAGTTTCTTTAATCAGACTTAAATTAAAATGTCAACGCTTTCAAAAGGCAACACTGTCGCAGTTTAATTTATTGCGGTTGATTTGCATCTGCGTGAATCTTGCGTGCAGTGATTCGTTTATTTAGCGTCTGCGAATTACGTTTTGCGAATTGTAAAAGCAGCTTAAATCAACACAGTCGGATAGCGTTTTTTAAAATAATTGTCTTTCACAGGAAGAATAATAAATCTATCTAGCGAATTTCTTCAACTTAAAAGAGAAAAAAGGAAAGAGACAATGTATTACCAGGCTAAGGTAATTACGTATAAATTGATTATAAATGTCACGACATTTATAATTTTGAGTACAAAGGTGTTCATTATAGATAAAAACGTTATTAGTGTCTATGTGTGCGCATGATGTGAATCGCGCTTTTAATTTTCAAAGTAATTAAAAATTTTCGCAACGTCCGCTGTAAATTACTATAGATATAGTTTTATAACATTGAATACCTCGTTTGTGAAACTTTCGGTTCAAAATTCGAGGAAGATTACTGCATTATTTTAAGAAGATTGAATTGCAATCAAGTGATTACTTCTGATACATTATTCGCGAGCAGGATTCGTTTCGTTTTACCTTTTTTTAAAGAGGGGCGTCTGAAGAATTAGATTTCGGAGTTTATATTGTGTACAACTTTTGTTATATATAACTACGTTCAATTCCAAAGGTCTATACGAGAGAAACGGGAAAGAAATAGGTATCGCCGCACGAGCGACTAGCAATCCCTCGAACAATCTTCTTTCCGTCAAGCGCAAACTGCTAGTTAAAATTCGCGAAGGCCTTCAAGCGACAGTTTCGCAAACATCCCGGAAGATTGTCGTCGTGAGAAGTTAATAACATATTACAAAGCTGGAAAAATTTTATCATTACACGCGGTTTCTCCGCATTTTATTATCATATACCGATTCGCAATCGATTAGCGTTTCTTAAATGATGCCGTTCTCGTAAAACGGTTAAAAAAGATGCAACTTTCAAACAATGGCAAAACCGCTGAAACGAACGTACGGAAAAAGACTATTACGATGGAGATTAAAGGTTCGTATCGATAACCGATAAAGTTTACGTTTAACAGGATCAATTTCCAAACTTTCCGATTACGCCACGTAGATGCTTAAGTTGGAGTTTACAAGTCGACTTAAGGTGGGTCAATTTGCGTTTTCATTTCTCGATATCAGATAATCATCGAAATCTGAAAACACTTTTCCAACGCGTTGTATTATCCTATGATTTTCGCCGATCAACGATGAAAGGGACTGGTGTATACATTTAAAGCGAACTTCGAAGAAAATCACTTTTGGCGAGAAATGCGGGTACGCTAGGATGGCGCTAATTATACTTTCCCACTGGACTATGAAAAAAAGGCGACCGCCATCGCCGTCGGGGACGAAATAACCGGGCGAGGTTACGCGATAAAAACGGAAATGGAAGGGAAAACGTAGCGGCGCGCACGTGGAAAGATGTGGCGCTCGGCGACGTCTGACGAGGTCACCCGTGGAAACGAGAAGCGCGAAACCGGACGGGAATATGAACGGGGTACGAGGAAAGAGGGATGAAGGACAGACGAGGGAGGAGTGCGGGGGACAGAGGGAGGACCGAGAAAAATGACGACGGAGGTAAACAGAGCTAAGTGAAGTTAACGATCGGGCAAGAAGAGCGGCAAAAATGACCCCGGGAAAATTACCGCACGCGCAACGGCTTAATGTCCAAAAAGATGAGAGCATAGAAGAGAGAAAGAGAGAGAGAGAGAGAGAGAGAGAGAGAGAGAGGGGGGGGAGGGAGAAGGGGGAGAAGCGAATAAGGGAGATATAGGGAAAGGAAGATAAAAAGAGAAAAAGAAGGAAGGAGAGGAAAAGGAAGTCAAAGAGAACGGTCGAGGTCAGGAATGAGGGAGAGAGAGGATATCACAAGAACACGAAGAGAAAGGAAGGCTGCAGCTGCTTAATGACCACCCTGTACATTCGTATCTCTCTTGGATAGGCTTTCCTTTTTCTCCATCCTTTGCACAGTTCCGCTTTACTCCCTTTTTCCTCCCTAAGTCCTCCGCGCAGTCCCGGCGCTGGGTGCCGCTGGGACCATTATCTGTAATTGCTTTCCTTAATTCGATGTTCGTTGCCTATGTGGTGGAACAAGGGAAAAAAAAGGAATTCGCGTAATAAGTTAGAAACGGCTTAAGTGCCACCTCGACTTGTGCGGGATCTCGTGAAAAGTTCAAATCCGTCGTGGCACGTCGAGTTTCGCGACGGATACTACATTACGATTTGCACGATTTCTCACGAGGTCCAATAACACCCCTTAATCTTTCTACGCAAGATAGATTCGCAGTCTTTTCTAAAATCGGTGGCCGCGCAGCTTTCCTTCTAAGGAGATTCTTCGTGTATAAACGACGAACAGTACAGAACGGGATAGAGAATTCCGCAGGCGATGCCGATGGTTGTCTCTTCGGGTGATCGATACCGGAAATAAATCGCGCCGCGCCGCGGCGTGGCGCGGCGGCCAGAGTCTCCTTCGGCTCGCGTTCGAATGCAGATTCCTCAATTTGTTTTTGAGCACGCGGACTAACGGGTGTGCTCGCAGCCGCAGGGGTCGAAAGTCACGTGGAAAAGCCGCGACGGACCGACATCGAGCGGCAAATTGATCGACGCTGCGACGACCGTAAATCACTTCACTGACAATTGATTCGGGTGCTGCCCGTTTTACCTCCGACTACTGCGAGAACTACTGTTTACGAGAATGCGCGTGCACGTAACACAACTACGTTGTGTTGCGTACGCGCGTTGGTTGCGGCTTCATTTGCCACCGTGTTTAATGATACGCAACGTGACGGGCTCGTAACGTTTCGCCACGTTCTCGTTGCGTTACCTTGTACTCCCGTTGCGTTGAGATACACCTATTTCTACGCTCACATTTTACAATGAAAATAATCATGCGCCAGTAGACATTCTAGATTCAAATATTTTCTTTCTTCGCCGCTTTCTTTGTATTGTATTAAAGTGCAAAAAATGTTCTATTACGAACTTGTCTTAAATAATAGTAGGATATCTTTGAAGAATGAAAAAATTGGTGGGGGATAGAGACAACGGCAGTTATTTGATTAATAAAAATTGCATAAAATTCGTGATTTTTTTTTTTAATGAATATGTAATGACACTTTTTCCACTGACAACAAAATAACGAGAAAATTTTAATTCAAACCTTAATTTAAGAAAAGCATAACAATGAAAATTGGAAATTGCAATAAATGGTAATTTTCTTTGTTGCATATAAAATCTCTAAATTGATAAAATCTCGTTAAAAAATAATGCGGTGAAAATAAAATATCTGGTATTTAATAATTACTTTCGCGGTGTATATCACAGAATCTCCTATTTTTTCTCTTTTAATTTTTGGAGTGTTATCAAAATTTTATAAAGTTCAATTATAAAGGGGAATGTTTTTATATAAACATCGTGCATTTTATTAAAAATGAATATGTATCTTATAATACCATACAGAAAATTAATCGAATAATTCTGTAGTTAAGAAAAATGAAATAAATACTCAATATCGAATTTAATTCCGACGCGTTTATGGGTTTTTCTTGATAAGTAGAGCGTTGTGCAATGTATATACGAACGTCTAATGGGGTGTGGTGCGTTCGTCTCGTAACATTGTCTCGAGGGTGGTGATCTGTCTTGCTTACCGCCCCGCATCGTTGACACCACCCACCTCGAGAACAACCGCTATCCGAATCATCCTCCTCCGCCCGAAAGACCCATACGAATCTATATGGCGACCTTGTGACGATCTGTGTACTCGACCAGCACCTTTCGCTAATCTCCAGACAATCGCGAATGCCCACTAAATTGAGTAGGGTTGAACTCGGTTGACTTCTCCTCAACAGCGTTCCTCATTCGACCTCGCGCTGACTAAGTGATAGACGATACGCGATTTTTCATCCTGTCGTCGCGATAATCCAACCTACCGCGTATCGCGCTACCTCGCTAGGAATATCCTCGCACAAGAACAAGACGTATTACAAAACTTCGCGTGCAATTTAATACCATGTTAAACCTCCCGATGAGTCATAACCCGAGATTGTCGATCTAGGATTAAGGAAGTTTTATCTGTACTAGACTGCTCACTTCGTCGCCATGTTTAATATCAAGCAGTACCTCCGATAAGGACTTGCATTTTTTGGTCTACCTATTCTACACACATATAAATCACATGATATATAGCAATGTGATACAATCAGATCACATGGTATATTCACAGACAGTACGCATACATGTGCATAAGTAAACGCTAAAAAATATAGATGTGGATTTATAACACTAAAAATTTTAAATCTACATCATGATGGTGTTGAAATTAACATCAGGAGTTTTAAATCCATACATGTTGGTGTTAATATTAACACCAATACGGTGAGAATTGTATAGATACCGCATAGTGATATAAAATCCACACTGGTATTTTTAGAGTGTGGATCAAAATAAGGACTCAAAATCACTTTTATCTCTTTCCGCACATGCAAAATAATCGACGTAAACAATTATAGTCTATAGTTTTATCTGAACGGCCAATAGAATACAGTCGATCAAATGTTGAATCACCGATTTGATTTGAAGACTACAGTGAGGCGCGTTTGCGGCAATCAAATGTTACTCCTGAGCTTGTAACACTTACCGGTACGCTTCTCGGCATCTCGATACGTGACTTCACTGAGGATGACGGGTTGACTTCGACCTTTGGCGTTTACCGCGTAAACCGCCACGTGAACCCCAGCTTCCACCGAGGCCTCCAGTCCGGCGAGGGCGAAGGATGGCTCGTCCGGGTTGGAAACATTGTAAAGGGGCTGGCTGTTAGCTAGATAATCGACATCCCCGTGATAAACTTCCAGAACGAATTTTTGCGGCAGCCCACCGTCGTATCCAGGCACGCATTTCACCTCCACGCTGGTATATGTCTGGTTCGCCAGGGTACAGTTGCGCACTGGAAACGGTTTCCCTGGAACGAGAGTGGTCGATGACGTAAATTAGCGGAGCGGAAGACGACGGGCTCGCATATATTATGTGACTTGTACAGCTGAAATAGCTTCACCCGTGTAAAACTAAAAATGGAGCTTCGACAAAAGAGAGACTCTATCCGTTTTTCTTTTTTCGCGGTCGTGCATACCGACATACTAAATCTTTTTCGGAGACACGCACGAACGCCACTTCCGTCTCGTGACATTTTCTGGACACCTTGTACGCGTCTATATATCCGAAAACGGCTCCACAGGTTGGTTGGGTCATTCTCTCGGAAATCAAGCCCGGCGCGCGAGTGAAAAATGCTCGCGTGTCCACGAGTGGCAAAGATTTAGTGTACCAGGATCGTAATGGGCGTAGAGATGTGTTCCGCTCTCTTTTTCTTCCCGCACCTTCGTCTCCGAGCAGACTACCATCTCAACATGACACATCTTCCCCGTCGACGGAATCACGTCTATCCCCCTTCACCCCCGTCACGAACAAGAGAGCGTCGCGTCGTTTTTTCTTCTTTTGGCCGAAATCATTTCTCGCGCATCGTTCTTACCGGAAACCGTGGCGAGGAGGATGGATACCGCTCGTTGTCGCGTACGCGCGTTTCCTTCTTCTTTTATCTAATTTCGATATTCAACGTGCTCGTTTCACGTTCATTCGCTTGGGATTTCATTTATCACAAAGTTCGTCATCATCGTCGTCGTCGTCGTCCTTCTTCCTCTTCTCGTTATAACTCGCGGATTTACAGAACGTATATTGAATCTCGGCAATGCTTCGTTTGTACTTTACGCGCGCTTGTTCTCTCCTAGCTCGTCTTTGCCCTTTTCTTATGTCTTTGCCACATAGCCCGAACCCCACTCCCCACGAACAAACATTTGAAACCTGTGCTTTCGTGCTCGTAAAAGGGTACCGCCGGGATAGAGGCAAATTCAAATTAGTTTTGCGAGCAAAGAACGGCTAAGTTCAAACTGAACTACTCGCACAGAATGGCGTATTCTTCTTATATTTTTCTATGCGAAAGCTTTGTCGAAATATCAGAACTACAGACACATACCTATAATATGATCACAGCAACCAGAAATATGTGCAGTTTATTTTTATATTCTCAGTTCCTAATATCATAATTTTAAAAAAAGTTAAAAAATTATAAAAAAATCTCGCATAAATATTTAACATCATCATTCAATATATATATATATATAAATATTTAACGTTGCATATTTTAGAAGCAGCACAAATACATATTTTATCTACAATATCTTACTCTATTTTAAAATTCCTTCGGAGCAACAATAGGTATTGTTAATTTATTTTTACACACCACGACTTTTGGTAGAATAGAATATCCTTGTTTCATTCATGCGTTCAGGGATCGTAAATTTCAATATGCTCCGGAATTCCAATTGTACATTCGATATGCGTAACGAGAGGAACCTAACGTGATCCCCGATTCTCTCTCTCTCCCTCTGTCACGAGATCCTGTTCCGGAAATCCCGTCTTTTTACCGTTTTTCCACGCTTCGACGGATATATTTCTTACCGAAATGCTTCGCGGAATGCTAACCGACATCAATAACGTCGGGGGATGGGGCAGAAAGGGAGGGACGGATTGGGGTACAAAAATAATATCATGCCATCGGGTTTACGGGTCGTTGGCATTGGTGAAGCACCGCGAGAGGGTTTCGATATCGAGGCAAAGAAGCGGTTGGTGCGCGAGAGGACGATTTTATTGGGGGGGGGGGAGAGGAAAAGGAAGGAGGGGGAGAGAGATGAGAGGGGCACACACCGGTGCCGCTCACACTCGACGTATTCGTCAATGTCAATACGTCCTCGGCCGATCGCCATGTCAACGTCACTGTCGATCACGCACTGAACGGGGGAGGAGAGTGAAAAAAAAGGAGAACGAGGAAACGCGAAAAAATTCGCTTGGGGATTAATGCCGATTTAACGGTCGATGATTGGTCGCCTCCCATTGTACGGCGATGATTCGCGGGAATCGCGCGCCGTGCTCTTTTTCCCCCAAGAGATCCCGTAAAAACAGCGGCGATTTTGCATTTCAATTGTCGTCGCGCCGCGCGCTTTTGACGATTTTTACGCGGACAGCTCGCGCGATTAAAAATGCACCTAATTTTACAAAACTCGGCAGAGAATTTATCATAAAATCACGACAGCGCGGATTCTGCTTTTATTGAACTCCATTATATAGTATTATTCCATGATTTTGAGTGCTATATGTCGAGTAAGTTTCTTTAAAGAGAACGCACATCATATTTTAATCATCTATTTATTTGCGTAGTTCTCGCAGTGCCCTGCATTGTATTCCTTAAATAAAGAGAAATTTTCACAATTTCGACGAAGTATGTCAACTTAATAATCTAATAAGTTCTAATGCAATAATCTACAGACAAAAAGTTTTAAATATTCATCAAGTCCCCCCCTTCCATTTTCTCTCTCTCTCTCTCTCTCTCTCTCTCTCTTCTATTAATATTCCTATAAATAAAACAATATTTTTAATAAGATAAAACGAGACTAAAACATTTATTTATTGATTGCTAGTTCGTATTTACATAGATTAACTTGATTATTATCGCTATTCTTCAACGTCATTTGAAAACATAATAAAAGAGATATGTATATTTTGAAACAGAAGAACAAACATATTCTGTACAAATTGTTGATTAATGAACAATTTATCGTATCAATACATTGCGTTCGATCAATTTGTTTGGAGAAGATTGCAATATTATGCCCCGTAAAGTCCCTCTGGGCTGCAGTTTATCGTGTATACTCACCGGCTGCCACCAGCTGAAAAAGACACGGTCTCGACTGGGTACCGACGAGATTGTCCGCCCAGCATGAAAGGGTACCATAATCCAGCTCGGTGGTCGGTGTGTATTTCAGCACGCTGATGCCGCTCGACTTCTCCATGGAGAACCTACCAGGTGCTACCTCCAGAGTCTCGCCGCTGTTGTTGAATTTCCACCGGAAATTGTGTGCCGGCGGATCGGCCTCGACCCTACAGGCGATGTCGAGCGACTCGCCCCGCGACGCGCCGACCACTATAATTCGGTCCTCCTTACACACCGGCGCGACTGGAAGCAGAAATATCGATTTGTATGTCCTAGCGGGAGGAGCAAGACGATTTTCTTCTCCGTTATACATTTCGGAGTTTATAATATATCGCAATAGCGACTCTTTGATGACCATTGTACCGTACACACAAAAAATACGTAAGATAATTATAAATAATACATACAAAAATTCACATTCCATCATAAGATCATCACTGTAGCATTAAATTTATTCAAAATATATTTTGAATTTCTCAGTAAGTTTAATACTCCAATGAAGATTATTAAATTAAAACAAATTCGATTTGTTTTTTTTTTTTAATTATGTAAAGTCGTCTCTTCGATCAATTTTACAATATTTTTCGAAACAGATAAATTCTTATTTTTGTGTATGTATAGAAAATATATAGAAACTATATATAGAGAGAGAATAATGAACTTTCCTAAAATTTGTAATATTATATATTTTAAGATTATATATTATCAAGAAATATTCTTTGTTAAAGATAATCGTTACTTAAAAAGAAGAAAGAAAATTTCGTAATCACTTTTCTTAGCAATAAAATGATATTTTTCTGTGTATAAATTTTACCAGGAATTTTATAGTGAGCGTTTTAAAAAAACGTACAAAATTTCGTAACAATCCGTAAAGAATGGGCTTCAAAGGATTACAAATATATCAATTTCGATTACATACGTGAATTAATGTTATAAAATTATTGATTTGTATGTACGAGAAGGAAGAGAGAATCTTTTTCTCCACTACTCGTTTTAGAATTTTCAACGCGTTGACGGTGGCGTAGTCCTTTGATGTGATCATCGTACCGGATTTTACTGTCGGCGCTAGAATTTGCGAAATTTGTAACAATTAGTACTTCCACAAACGGTGAAATTCAAAAGCTACGAGCATAAAATCTTGAATTTTCACATTTACGAATCGGGAGACGTAAATGTTTAGCGATTTTCAATTAATAAAATGTAAAACGGTGATTACATTAACTGAAGTTTCAAAATAATAATCAATATATTTTATTGGAGAATTATTAATGGCCATCACATCATATTACGAATTTCATTTACCGATGCTAGAATTTACGAAATTTATTGTAATTAATCAAACTTTTAGTGTCAAAAAGTGACAAGGGTTAGGAGTATACAGAATCTTGAATTTTCGCAATTATAAGTGAAGAGAGATATGTATTTGACGGTTTAATTTGGTAAAATGCAAAATGAGATTGCTGCGTTAACTGAAATTTTGAAACAGTAATTAACAGATTTTATTGGAAAATTATTAACGATTATCGCATGGCGTTCTATGAGTTTTAATACGATAGATGCCAGAATTTATGAAATTTATTTGCATTAATAAGAATTTTCATGAAAGGTGAAAAATGGTTAGTAGAATAGAATTTTGAATCTTCGTAATTTTACGGCTCAAGAATCACGTATTTGACGATTTAATTTGATAAAATGCAAAAAAAATGTTAATTAAAATTTTAGTGTAATCGGCGCAGACGTCTGTTGAAAAATGTAAGATAAATATCAATGCTATTTCTCTTTTCCTCCTTTGTCAGTAAGATTTCATTTGCAGATTAGTTGTAAATTTCAAAATGACTGCTTTATGCTTTCCTCGCCTTCAGGCATGTCCCGTCAAGAGATTACTTGGGTGACGAGCGATGCATATTAATTGCGCTTCTCGATAAACGTTATTAATGCTACTCTCTTTAGCTCGTTCTCTTTAACGTCCTACCCCGAGGTACGTACAGTTTTTATAAAGTGATGCTTTTTCCTTCGTCGTTGACCGTCTTACGCAAATGGGTCTCTACTTTATTATCCCAACCAGAAATTATCATAGCTGTGAGAAAGATAAGCAGGACAGCTTTTCACAAATAAACATCTAGTATTCATTAAGTGACAAGAGCGTTAATTGCCGATTATAATCTTCGCGAACAGAGACTGTTATTCGCGAATGATAATGTTGCTCAATTCAGGAATGCTTATAAAAATTATAAAAATGCTTATAAAATATACGCTGATCAAATTTCAAAGGGAACAAGATTGACGTAGAGAAAAAAGTTTATTGTCATTAATTAATGTATTTAACTTATTATTACAGCGTAACAAAACTACTTTATAATTGTATACAGTGTTTGACTGTCCTTTTACAATATTAAAAAAAAAACGGCTTAACTTTTTCAAATTCTGTTTTCAGCAATTATAAAAATCTGTGAGGTTTTTAATTTCACTAAGACAAGATATATAATAAAATTGGTTGACCATAAAGGGATCAAAGAATAATGAAATTTTTAACAATATAAAATAAACTAAAAGAAGTTTAAAACATTATTTTTAAGAGGTTGTACTGTATAATTTCAACATATTTTCAACAAAATTCTTCCAATAATTTTTTTTATTTTGTTACATCCGTTGTAAAAAGTTTGTTAATTATTATTTATTTATGTTAACGAATTTATTGACTCAAGGCTTAATTCAAGATCATTGTCGCTATACTTCACAAAAAATATCACAAAGCTAATTCGGATCGTTTTACGCACTAGCATTTAATATTAATTGACTGTCGTTTTATAATTGCAACTTGTTTTTGTAAAACGCTCCAGGAATATTAGTGGATTGGACGGGAAGGGGGAATTTTTCTGTCGATCTGATAAAACCGTAGTAGACGAGATAACCGACGAGATTCAAGTACCTACCGCGGCGTTATCTGTACACGGAAGGGCGAAAGGTCTCCCAGTTTGACGGTATGCCAATAATGACCTACATATCGTAGTTGCATCTGGGAAAACACACAAATGACAGCGATATCGTATAGCAGACGATTTTTCTGACACGCCCTGGCGTTTTGTCACGCGTTGGATACGGCGGCCCTTCTCTAACCGATGGTGGAATCTCGTTTTATCAACGCAAGTTATGCAAAAAGGTCTACTCTCCTTTTCCTACCGTCTTCCCGACGCGACGATATATATTTGTCCCGATTTATCTACGTTTATCTACGCCTCTCTTTGTCTCCATTCGTCTCGCGCCCTCCGCGCGAAGAGTAGAGAAGGGAACGAACACGAGCAAATACGTATCTCAACGTGTAATCGAACGAGAGAAATTGATATCACGTGAATAATCAGAACAAAGATCAAAATGCTGATATAATGTGTTCAACAAACGCGGCTGAAAGAATATAAAACGAGAGTCGACTCCAGGTTGAAAAGCTTGTGATCTCGACTGGCTGAAAGTACTCATTATTAAACCCGAATTGCTTTTAGCATGTCACTTTTATTACACACTTTTCAGCTTTATTACGTTCATAATTACTGCACATTTCCTATCGTAATTCGATTCACAAAAGACAAGCGATTGTTATTAATTTTCGATGATGGCCGTAATGCAGCATTCCATGAGAGTTAAAGCTTTTTACGGTTTAATATTGAATTTAAACGGAAGAGAATGCGTCCCGTTACAGGCTTATTGTTCTTCGCTCGTAACGTTACATTGTTCCATTTGTAGTATTTTCAATTGCCTCATATTTGAACTTCGATCACGGGTTTTTGTCTGAACAAGCAGCATGAAACAAATGCGCCGTCAGAGAAATTTTACGATAGAAAGGTAAACGCACGAAGCGTGTGTGAGAAATGCGGGCGTGTAATTGTAAACGCGTTACACTTATTTATGATGTTACGTAGATTTGTGGTTGATAAAAATAACTCGAAATTATATATATAGTGTGTACAGTTTACTGTTTTTAAATAAATATGGTATATTGCAATCATAAATAAAAATGACAATTAAGCTACGAAATTACAGATTATTTTATGTTATAAATTATTTTATACACATCAATCTTAAAAATGGAGAATGTTTATATATTTATTTTGTATTTTATTATATCAACTTTCTTGATACTGTCTAAAATAAATATTAAACAAATGATAAATGTAATCTTGTTAGCTGTACGACAAATTAAATAATTTAAAATCAACAATAAATCGAGTTGAATGATGATATTGATTATAGCATGCGGTTTCAATTAGTTCCCATAAAATTTAATTAGCATTTATACATCGAAATATGGTAAAGTTATTTTGTTGTGTAGCCATTAATTAATATATTTACATTTTAAACCTTCATGTATGTGTAATATCCGATTATCGTACAAAATCAGCAAAATCTCGGGCACGGTTTTTGTCGGGAATATTTATAAGGTTCGTATATTAATGAATAATCTATTATTATGTGACATTAATCTACAAAAAATCTATACATCTATACATACAGAGCAAACAATTTAACGAAAAATGCGAGACAACTTCGTTACAAATAAGTTCGAGACTTTAATTACACAAGTATAATAGTCTGCGATAAAATATTGTGTTTAACAATTCTATCTGTTTTTAATATAATTTTGCCTGCTAAACGAATTCGTTTTTGTAACAATAATGTCTAGATTGCCGATCTTGTAGAAAACACTGGAAAATACTAAATTTTAGTAAATATCTGTTTGAATAGTTCTAAATAAATATTTAATAAATATAAACATATATTTAGTACAAAAACTATTGATATATAAGTATAAATATTTATTGTAAGTGTAAATGTTTACTTTGTACTGTTTAAACAAATATGTATTAAGATTTGATAAAGTATTTAGTGTAGAAAATCAGATAATAAATCATTGAAGTTTTTTTTCTCCCTTTCTCCTGAAAAAGTTTTCTTTTATGTCGTGTATGCTTTTCTCCGTAACGATTAATTAGAACGTGATATCGAATCGTAAAGTGAACTTAACTTTTATTCTATCTTCTTTAAGTACACGTGAGTCCCGGCTACCTCTTAAATTCTATTATTATATGACAGCCTCGATAACGTAAACGAAATATTATACCCTCTTTCCTAACAATGGCGTAATATCCAAAGAAATAAACCACGAAACCATCCCGATTTCTATTCGTGGATGGTCGCGAGATGCTGGCTTATCCAGAACTATTTCCCCTATCTTTACGAGGTCGTCACGATTCACAGTTAAATATTGAAGACCCCCGTCTGTCTGCGGAATTGGAACTCGTATGTGATCCCGCAAACTGTGCTAAACGTCTCTGCGTGTCAATTGCTCCTGAATAGTTTTACGAATTAGATATAAGTATATCGCGTGAGTCAACGCCAAATCCTATCGCATCATATTTTTACGACAATCAAATTAAGGAAACTTAAGAGACTCTAATTCTCTGCTTTGATATCCCTTACATCTCGCGCGAGTCAACACAAAATCCTATCTCGTCATATTTTTACGACAATCAAATTAAGAAAATTCAAGAGACTCTGATTCTCCACTTTGACATCTCTTGCGTTCGAAATGATAAGATCTTAATTTAATATTTTAATTTAATTTTTTTGTAAACGGAACATATATTCTCGAATATTCCAGAGAATTCTTAAGATGAGGCGGCATTTTACCAAAAAATGCCTAGGTACGGAATTTCGGATTTTCTCCCAAATACCTCGCAAATTGTGCATCCTACAAGAGTGCACGAGGTTCTTTCATGCCTCTCTCGTTTGAGATCTCTTACTTGGGAGGGACGCTTTGGTAATTCGTGCTCTAGAGAGTTTTCAAGAGCGAGAACCGCGCGTGTTCTGCCGTATATGTCGTAAGCTACGGTACGAATCACTTCTTTCACGAAATTTAGAGGTGACTTTCGTGTCGACAGTCGGCCGTATTCTGGGAATTGGATCTAAAAAATGTAGCCAATGCTAAACACTCTTAAAATATTCATGGCAAATGTGACTCTCAGGGGTATACACAATAAATTTACGTATAAAGCTTAGAATATAAATTGTCTATTATCAGTAAAGGAATCTTATAATATATGCTTAACAAATGATATGTGGAAAAAATTAATTATAAATGCTATAGCAAAGCTATAGCTTACCGCGCGAATTTAACGTTTGTAACTAAGAAGATTGATGGTTTAAGAAATCGCTAATGTGTTATTCAGCTGTCAATTTTGCTACTTTAGATCTGCTGAATCAGTGAAGTTTTTAGCTGTGTCTTTTTTTGTGTATTTGCTGCAAGAGTGGAACTCGTAGAAGATCCTACAAGTGATGCCGGGACTTCACTATTAAATATCTCTGCGTGTCAATTTGGATAATTTCACGAATTCCCAGATTTTAAACGCAAGATAAATTAACGCGTACTAATTTAGGATAGTTAATAGTATGTTTTCTCTAGACTATTTTTTATATAATCACAAATCAACTTACATTTAACTCGAAAGTGCAGTGGTTCACTTCGAGTCTCGTTTAGAGCATTCGTTGCTGCGCAGACATAGCGGCCAGCACTGCTTCTTGTCACACTTTGCAAGACGAGACTCTGATTCGACCAGATAATTCTCGCCGACGTGTTATGAGCCAGGATTTGATTCTGCAAAAAAAAGAGGTTTCAATTAAATTCAATTTATTGCATAACGAAAACAAGACTTCGACGATACTGACGCGAGTAGTATATGTATTTATCAAACAGCTGACAGTGAGAGAGAGGATGAGAAAAAGAACGAGAAAAGAGCAATCCTCTGTCCTGCGAGAGTTGTTCTGCCACGAGATCGAGTTCGCGATTTCATTTCTCGTTATTTTCTAATTTCGCGATAAATTAGAGATAAGCGTAACCGCGCGCGCATCTCGCTACGATGTCTTCCTGTCTGTTACGACCTGTTCGTTATCGTATCATTTTTTTTTCTTCATCCCCGGAGGAATACCACTGTCGACCAACCGAGCGCTTTTATGACCGCGAAAGACAAAGGGGAAGTATCTTGCAAGATTACGAGAAAGCGTGTATCTGCAGTATACATTATTGCACGCGCAATATAATATCGTTATAACTCGAACGAGTTAACGAGTCGTGTTTGCATAATGTGGATCATTAGAAGTTCTAACGAAACAGACTAGTACTGTTTGTACATCTGTATTAACATATCTGAATGTATATATTATTACATACAATTATTTTTTATTAAAATCAATTGCGTGTATGTACTTGGTTAGTTTTTTGATCTACTTGAAATCACAGCAGTCGCTATTTTTGCTGAGTATTAATACTAACGGTATAAACGAATTATAAGTGGAAATTAAATAAGAGTAAATGAAATAATAGAATTTTATTTTTGATGGATCTCTCTTAATGCTTAATAATATTCATATAGTATAAATTTATAAATGCATTTTCCAGTTCTATATTCTTCGACAGAAAATATGATTCTTTTTCTTATTTGACAAATAATCAAATTACTTTTAATTCATTTACATTTTAATTGAATTTATTTCGTTTTGAGTTAATTATTAAAAATCAAGAAATTTCAAGAAACTTCTCGATTCTTTTAATATTTATATTTTTAAAGAAATTTATTTTTTAATTTGTAAAAAAGATCTGTTTCTAAAATTGTTGCTCGATGCTGCTCACATAATGACGTCGTGTACGTTAATGATACACCCGAGTAACGTATTCCACGTTATCTGGCAGGAAGGTGCACGCGACAAATACGATTTTACCAGTTTTACCGGTCGCAAGAGGAGCGTACAGTTACATGTCGCTGTAACAAATTTGCCACTTTAATTAGCTCCAAAAGGGTGAGCCCTATTATGTCTTACTTTGTCCCTGTTTTCGCAACAAAATGAGAAGCGGGACGAATGTAGTGCTAATATCGCACTCTGCTGAAACTTGCAGCAGGAACGAACTCGGAGCGGAGTGGAGCCGCACGTCAGGGCCAACAAGTAGTTGGAGTCGGTGCATACGCCGCCATCGGTGACGTTGCCAAATGCAGGCCGAACCGCTTAATCAGGCGAGAGGCGGCCTTCGAAAGTTCCACGACCGCCGTCTACTACCTAATTTACAGGCTAGTTGCTGGCAGAACGCTGTAGTTCGTAACGTAATTACAAAGTCCATTATTAAAAACTAATATCGAACTTATTATTGGGAGCCATTTTCTTGGAATTCAACGGTGAATGCATCATTCTGTCACCCTCTCGTAATTCCGCAAAAACTTTCCTCCCTTCTATTAAGCGATATCTTTTTACTTGATCTCACTGTTAGTCGATCTCCTCATCTGCTTTGCCGAACATGGCAAAAGTTCGATACGTGGGGTGGGAAACGCAAGCGCGAGATTATGAAAGGAATATTTCAGAGTCTGCGTATGCCATAGTGCACTGCCCGTGAAAGTGGTCTTACCTATTTAATCAGACGAGAAACGACAATCGAACGTCTTTGTTTCGCCAACAAACATTTTCTCGACCGGTAAAAGTCCTTAAGTTTTTCACCCTACTACTTCCCTCCCGTCATCCTCTCACCACCATTCCGTTCTTATACCTCTTACCTCACTATACCGTTTCCTCCATTACACCAGCGGACCCTCTTCTCTCCCGTTCCGCCAGAATCCGCTCGCCGAAGATAATTCGAAATCGATTTGAAACGAGGCCATTTGAATCTTGGAGAAGTTGGCGGGGTGCAGGTATAGACTAGGGAATGCGCAAGGAGTGAAGCGAAGGGGAAGGTGCAGAGATTCCTTCTTCCACCACTTCTGTCTTCCCCTCCGGGACGCGTTTCTTTCTTCTAGACGCCGCTCGATGGGGCAGATTTATTCAATTGTTTTATAATCTCGGCAGCTCGACACGGCGCCTCCCGACGATGTTCCCCGTTAAAATCCCCTTCACCCTTTTCTCCCTCATTTATCGTATTTTTCTCTCGCGTAATTTCACGACAATATGAAGATATTTAATTACTTTGATCACGATTAACTCATGTACCGATGAACTTATTGCGTATAATTAAGATATACGAACAATAAGACGTCAATAAAATACATGATTACAATTAGAGAAAGCTTATTTTCGAAATTTTCGAATTAAATCGATATTGATAAATTTAATCAGAAATGACTCATCTCACGCTGTTAAAAAATATATGGATTCAAAATGATTGAAAAAAACGAGTCAAAAAAAATTTTGAATATTTCAGCCTCGCAACTCATAAAGCCCCATGAAGCGCAAAATAAAATATCAGAGACGACATATTAGGCATTTTACAGCACTTAGTCACTCATATCACGATCACGAATTGGATGCGCGGGTTAATATACATGGAGTTTTTTTTCCAATTAAATTCACACAATCTTGATATATGAAATATATTTTTTTCAATAAAATGTAATAAAAAGCAATAAAAGAGGGGAAAATGCAGAAAAATGGGCGCAGTGTTTGCGGCCATTAGTGACATAACTCAATTAAACTGCATTGTAATCTATGTAATCAGCCATCCATGTGGTTGAGTCTAGGCTAGAAGGTTTAGCACGCTTAGCATAGGTTAAGCCCCGGTTAAATCCCAAGGTTTATCTTCGATTTACTTGCGGTAAGAGACGAAGCTCGGAAAGGACTCGTTAAACGTTATACCTTGTTAAGCTCGGCAGAAGAATTTTTAAGGGAACGCCTTTAACGTCTTCCCTTTGTATTTCCGCGTTGAAATTCTATATTTAATAATCTTACAAAATAATCGTGATCACATTATGCAGCAATTCCTTACAATTTCTTCCTTGTGCAAAAAAAGTCTTTAAAATTAGATACATACCAGTATATAAAATGCTTATATTTTTTAACTGCAATTTAACATGTTTTGAAAATAATTTATGTATTACTTTCCCAGACAATATGCATTGTCTAGAAGATTCTTTATGATTATCTTTTAGATATCTCTTAAACATGTTTATCCCAAAAAATATCTTTATAATATTTTTATGTCTTTAGACATGTATGTTATCTGGATAATTCTTGTTTAACGGTTCTCATAATTAAACACGATCTAAAAACAAAAATCTAAAACAAAGAAGATTAAAATGAAATTCTTATACATATCGATTATTTATAAGGAAAGAACAATTTTACTAATGTGTGTATCTAAAATTTTTTAGCTAGATACAAATCTGAAAATAATTTTCTTATCAAAATAATTATAGGACTCATATATAATGAGCAATAATTGCAAAAAGATTTTGATATTTCAACAATCAATTTGATTCTATCGGGCGTTCTACATAATTATTCTGATAGAGATTCTAAAATTATTTTAGAAAAAAAATCTGTGTATCTAACATACTTAAGCAAAACTGTTCTTTCCATGTGGAGATTTCATGTGCGCCTTTATGCATATTGTAGTTTCTCTCAATTTTTTGTTCAAGCTTTTCTTTTATTTCTTTAAAAGTAGAACTGGTCAAAGATCATGTTTTATTTCACATTTTGTCTGTATCAGATGAAAACTGTCGAAGCTTATCGGTCAAAACCACCGTTAAAGAGACAGTCCGCGATGGAGATTCGCTACACGGAGATCGATATCGCGGCAGCTTACACGTATGGTCCCATTGCGTACTCCAGCCTCGGCAGAGATAGCGAAGTTTAAAGTTTCCTTTCGCGACTCGAATCCCCCAGCCTCCACCTTTCCATTCCCACGAGTCGGGATTCCCGTTCTTTCGTCGCGTCGCTCCCATCCGCGTTTCTCCTCGTCGTCTCGACGAGGCGGAATGGAGAGTACGATATCGTCCTGTGTAGTCAGCTCCTGACTTTCGTTTATCTTTTCTTGCGACCGAGCCATTCTACGAAGAGCCACCATCCGTCCTTTGCGCCTCATCCTACTTATCCAATCTACTTCTCCACCTGGTGTACTTGTATTTGTCCGTATAAGTAGATTCGCGCCAGTAATTTCGTTCTAATTCACGCTAGCGATTATTCGCGTGTACTTGCGTTCAATAGTGCAGTATAGTAGAATAGAAGCATCGAAATTTCAACAGAAAGCGCATAAACCGAAAATACAACCACCCAAAAATTGCGGTTATAAATTGGGATTATAGATTGAATATCTCAAAACAAAGTCTAAAAGCAAAGTTCCTAAAATAAAATGGAAACTCAAAATCTCAAAGCCAAGTCTCTAAAATAAAACGAAAAGCGATGAGATTCGCGAATTATTCCTGGTCAAAGGTCAGCGAACGAAGAATGAAGTGCGCCAAATTCAAGAGAACCTTTTGTCGTAACGTAGTGAACGCATGAATGATATACGTATAGAAACCAGATTTTTCAAGTAAAAATCGTATATTTTGTTAAATCACGCTACACATTTTGGGTTTGGCTCAGCGTTATTAATTTAATTTTATTACCTGCGGCGAACGCAACAAGGCCCTTTGATCAGACCCAAAACTAGAAGCGGAGAGAGCACTATGTGCTTCCGATAATTAGATTTCATAGGGTTTGCTCCGTAAATGAGGATCAACTAACTTCCCCATTGTGTCCATTCTCCGAGCGCAGACAGCTGACACCCTTCCACCTATCGACAAGCCTAATTGCATCGGCCTAAGGGAATTGCTGTCGCTAATGGCTAATGTTATCTATCTC